GGGATGATGACGGTACATGAAGAACTCGAACTTGCCCCAATGCCACTTTGTCTCTAACGAAGTGAATGTCAACCTCAACATGTTTGGTGCGTTGATGCTGAACTGGATTGGAGGACATGTAGACAACGCTAATGTTGTCACAAAACACAATGGTGGCTCGGCGCAGTGGTTGATGTAACTCAAGTAGGAGATTTCGGATCCAACTGGCTTCAGCAACGGCATTTGCAATGGCCCTGTATTCTGCCTCCGCACTAGATCTGGAAGTGGTGGCTTGCCGCTTGGAGGACCATGAGACCAGGTTATCCCCTAGGAATACACAATAACCGGAGGTTGAGCGTCTTGTGTCTGGACACCCAGCCCAATCTGCATCAGAGTAAGCTTGAAGAAAGTCTGGGGAAGATCGGGACAAGGTGATCCCATGAGTAGTAGTGCCCCGAAGATAGCGAAGAACTCGTTTTAAGGTTGCGAGATGAAACGTGCATGGAGAGTGAAGATGAAGACAAAGCTGCTGAACTACATAGGTGAGATCGGGCCGAGTGAAGGTTAGATACCGAAGAGCACCAACGAGAGACCGATAGAGGGAGGGATCAGCGACTGGCTTTCCTGAGGTAGCAGACATTTTCCCTTTGGAATCAACCGGTGTGGAGATGGGCTTACAATGAAGCATGCCTGCCCTATCCAGAATTTCATGAGCAAACTGAGTCTGATGTAAGAACAAGCCCTCTTTGGTGCGCTGAACATTGATGCCAAGAAAGAAATTAAGCTCCCCCATATCAGTCATGGCGAATTCTCCCTTCAAGCGTTCCATAAGCTGTGATAAAAGCATAGTAGTGGAAGCTGTGAGAACAATGTCGTCAACATAGAGGAGTAAGTATGCCATGTGTGACCCATATGTATAAACGAATAGGGAAGTGTCTGTTTTGCAACCTCGAAACCCAATGCGCTGCAGGAAACCGGCAAATCGCTGATACCAAGAGCGAGGTGCCTGTTTTAAACCATAGAGAGCTTTTTTCAGTTTGCAGACATGATGTGGGCGTGAGGGATCCTCAAAACCAGAAGGCTAACGAGCATAGACAGTTTCCTGCAGATGACCATGAAGAAAAGCATTTTTGACATCCAGCTAATGTATGGGCCAGCCCCTAGCGAGGGCCAGACTCAGGACGATGCGTATGGTGGCTGGTTTGATGACCGGACTAAAAGTTTCACTGTAATCGACACCAAAACGCTGGTTGAACCCTCGGACTACCCAACGAGCTTTGTACCTAGACAGATCACCTGTGGGGCCAAATTTGTGTCGAAAAAGCCATTTGCCAGTGATAATATTTTGGGTGGGGGAGGGGGGATACTAATTCCCATGTATTATTCTTAGTCAAGGCATTAAATTCTTCACACATTGCTGTTGGAGTTATGCCCTGATGGCCAACTGTTTATCATTATTCTATCATGTATAGGCAGATATAATATGTTTACACATCTCATGCTAATGTAAACAAATATTATATTCCTAGATTTATATTTAAAAGATGTTTATAAGATAGTGTTTTTTCTGCTGATGAGACTAACATCTTGAAATAAATATTTATCTGAATGTCCATAGTCGAGTATTAACGAGAGTGCGATATCGTTAATGCATGTGAGACTAGTGTGTGTTGGATGTTTGACTTAGTCTCATAGTCAATGATGGTGTGTTCGCATCCGCACATGGGCAGATATTATCTAGAGATAATATGATGCCGGACTGACCCATCCTAAAGATGTTGCTTGAACTTTTAGTTCATCCTCTAAGCATCTTTAGTGCGACCACGGGTGTAACTATCCTTCGACTTGAAGTATTACGTTTTCTGCATATGTGAACCCGCATACTTTGAAGCATCGTCCTAAGCCATATGAAATAAGGATGGTATACAGGCTTTGTTTTGGGTATGCCGCAGCGCGTATTCAGAAACGTAGATTACGTACATAGGATTTGTCACTACTCTTTTAAAAGAGATTAATGTCTTATGGGGTCCACTGATAAGTTATGATTGAGGAAATTGCATGGCCATGCTAAGATGTTTTTATGACGTCTGTTCCTATTAGTCAAACTTGATAAATCAGTGAATGACTTAATGGATAAGAGCTGGATTTTTTTAATCCCTTGCATTAAGTTTAGACATTGAGACAAAGGGATACAGTTACACAGAGTTTGAGTCGTGGAAAGGTTTTGACGGTGCAAACGTCTTAACTTATAATTTGGGGGGCAATAATGTGTTGCTAGATACCGCTTATTGCTTATAGTATTGGTGCAGAGCCAATACTGTGGCCAGCTTTATAAGTGTCTATACGAGTCACACACTTTGGACAATTTAAGGAGTAGGATTAAACAATGGGATAATAAGTAATTTGTATATTTGTAAAAATAGTAAAGTAAAATATTTTGGAATATAATATTATATATATATATATAAATATTCGGTTATATATATATATTATATATATGCCGATTAATATATATATATATATATATATATATATTATATTGAATATTTTATTTTGGTTTGTCATTTTAATTATGAAAATAATTATCTTGACATAAACTATTTAAAGTATATTTAAATACTTGTTTAAAAATGATATGGGTATTTTTATTTGATTTAAAATTAATTTTATATTAATTTTTGGTGTCAAATAAAATACACTTTGAACATTTGAGTGGAGAAGAATTTTGAAAATCCTTCTCACTTTCTCAAAATTTTTTTCCGGCCAAAGTGTAGATTTAGAGAATCAAACTATACATTGATTGCTTAATTAGTGGAGCTAATTATTTTTGTCATTTAGTTAATGACAAAGTAAAATTCACCATCTTTTTCTCCTTAAAATATCACATGCCACTTTTAAAAACAATGTGAGAAATTTTTTTTTGAGTGGTTTTCGGCTATACCATCTTAGAGAGAGAAATACTATTTTACTGTTCCATTAATATCATTTTGTGTATAAAAAATATCTATAATATTTTCTAAATATTATTAGAAATATTTTCTATAGAAATATACAAGATTATTATTATCCCAATTTTAATCTTTATATTTTATACTACGATAATCTTTATTAGCTTAAAGATTGTGGTAGACTCCGGCGTTGTTCGTGTGTCAAAGTTGGAGACCGGATGCTTGAACGGTTACGTTTGCACTTTCAACGCTCTTCCTACGACTTCTTCGTTTTTACCGCTTACAGAGAAAGGTACAAATTTCTTACTACTATAAGTTTTAGTATGTGATTCTGGGCAAGATAATCATGTTAGGATGTTAAAATTTTTATATTCCGCTGCCTATCCTTGCACGGTTACCTTTCAGTGGTATCAGAGCCAACGTACAAAACTATAGTTTTACGTTTGACTTTTAAAATTTTAAAAGTCAAAGTTTTAACTTGTTAATTATTAAAATTCAAAAATTGGTAAAATGATTTTATTTAGTCTTGGAATAAGTATTGGACTTAAATAAATCATTGAAAATGAATTTTAAATTTATTTAGTTTATTTCTACCCGTAGTATATATATAATTATATATATTTTGATTTTTCGAAATATATATTTATATATATTGTAGAAATAGTAGATATAATTTTATTTGGACATAAAACATAATTTTATGATTGATAAAATTATATTGTAATTTTTGAATGTATTATTTCCTATTTTTAATTTATTGTATTTATTTAGGTGAAAACCGAAAATAAATATGGGAAAATTCAAAAAGAACTTTATTAAACTTAGAAATATTATTTCTATGTTGAATAAGGTTGTTGACAAATATATTGTACAAAATAATATTAGTTAGTAATTAAATAGATATATATTTATATATGTACTCGGTATTATTACCGAAATATTATATATATTTATATATTTGTATTTTAATTACATAAATGACTAATATATATTTTGTAAAGTTATATCTCAGTAAGAAAAAGAATGTTTTTCAAAATATTAAATTTTTATAATTTAATGTTTTCGAAAATAATTTAAATGGCCTTTTATAACTTATTGAGATTTAACTAATATATTTTGGAAATAATGATTTATAAATTTTGGAAATTTTATTTCCAGGATTATAAATGTTGAAAATAATTACTGGAAGTTGAAATTTAATTTTCATGATTTTTTCAAAATTGTTTCAAAATTTTAATGGCCTTTTTTGAATATAATTTTGCAAAAGGGCATTTTGGTCATTTGAAATATTCTGGAATTTTTTTATGCTGGGCAAATATACAGATTTTATAAAATGATTTTATAAAATTTTATTAGATTTATTTGGACATCTAATTTAATTTTATGAGTTTTAGAAAATATTTACTCCCGTAGTATTTTTCTAGAACTGTCTGGGGTGAGCGCGGTTCACCCGGTGTATGTATATCTCTATTGCTTGTGTGGATGTATGATATGCATGGTGGATGATTGTGGCTATAGTTTATTTGATTATAATACGGCCTGTGTGTCGTGCCTTATCTTATAAACTCTTGTTGTAAATCTATTTCTCTCTCTTACCTCAATCGAGGATTCTTTTCTCACGTGGTGGTTAGAAGACAAAAAGATTTGAAGACTGTTTGAAGAAATCTAAAAGAATGGAGATAGCCCGAAGTCCAAGTGCCCGGAAGCCAGTGGGAGCTATCGTTTTATTTTTCTTTTAGGGGCCACAATCATTACACGTTTATTTACTGCGTTTTGTGAATGCATGTTGGATGTATGTTGAACGCTAGTAATGGACATGTGCGCAACCATGTCGATAGGTGAGATCGGAATTATAAATCCCTCACGAATATTAAGTCTGTTGCCTTCTGACGCCCGGCACCTATCCGGCTAATGTGCACTGTCATGTACTCAGCCTCAGCAGAGCATAGTATGGTGTATGTTAAGCTGGTTACGGGAACCGCCATAACGTGGTCAAATGGATGGACGACTCAGAGGCAGTAAGTTGAGGTCATCTATGACAAGTCGGATGATTTTACTCACTCATCCAGCCAGGAGTTGGATCTTTATGATTTAATTGGAACTCTGTTCCTAAACAAAGTAGTCTGCTTGTAAGACGTGCCTCAGCCAATTACAAGTATGGTGAAAAGGTGTCCTGGTCCGGTTGTAGTAATATTGTTCGCCCAACACCAGATCAAGAGCTGAGAGCCCGGCTCATCAGTTGGAACTATGTTCCTACCTAAATAGTTGTCTTGTGGAATAACGCCCAAGCGGAACGCAAGATAATGAAATATGGATCTTGGCCCACTAGAGGTTTCACCGGAAATCTCCGAATCAATATCGAGGGTTATTGATTTGTTAAAAATAGTGGGGGATAATTAATTAAAGGCCTATATAATTATTAAACATGATAGATAACCTAGTTTGCAAAATTTTCTGTAGATGGCAAACAACAACAACCCTTTCAACCTGCGTTACATCCTGGAAAACAATAAGTTATCCGGGACCAACTTTCTTGACTGGGAGATGAACCTCCGGATCGTTTTTGACTGTGAGAGGAAACTCTACATCCTCGAAACGGATCCTCCCAAGACCCCTGATGCTGATGCTCGTGCGTTCGAACTCACTTCCTTCAAGAAGTATGAGGACGACGCGCGAGATGTAAAGTGTATCATTATGGCCAGTGTGACCGCGGAGCTCCAAAGGCTCCACGCGGACATGGAAGTGCGTCCTATGATACAATGCTTAAGAGACCTTTACCAGGGTCAGCCCCAAAACTCAGGAATTTACGTTATCGAAGTCAATATGTCTGATATCACCTCTTGGGTGATGGATACTGGATGTGGTTCTCACATCTGTACTTCTATGCAGAACTTGCATGAATGTAGACAATTGACGGAGGGAGAGATACAACTAAAAGTCGGCAATGGCGCACTCGTCTATGCATTGGCCGTCGGAACCTATAGTTTATCTCTACCTAGTGGTCT